CACACACACACACACACACACACACACACACGCGCACACACACCACAACTCTCTCGACTCACGTAATGGCGACACCATCGCAAGCACAATCGGTGCCGTTCACTCCACACGAGTCCATGGATGGGGCCAGCTCAATAGCCTTCTCTACAGCTCCCTCCCACGTCACAGCACCTTCAGGGGAGAAAAAGGAATGTAGTTACTTGCTCAGTTTGCCAACTAGCTTTGTAAAGCCAACAAAGTAGTTTTGTTTAAGTATGAGACTTACGGCACTTGCGACATAATTAGCGGCAGCAATGAATAAGCGACTGTGGTTGTTTATTATTAGAGCAAACAAATCCATATCATTCACAAGCTGTTGAACTATCCTGATCCCAGGAAATATTTTGTTGCTGTAAAGAGAGAGGAAATACTATTTCATTATTGTAAAAATTGCACTCAAATTATATCTATTCTTCTTGTTTATTTTCAACGTAGAATTCGAATTTCGACGACAAAATATTTCTCGAGCACATGCATCCGAATCCATACATTGATATGCAATTTAAAAGAAAAGTAAAAAAGAAATTTCGTCCGTCTGACCAGCTGGAGCTGACCGACAAAACTCTGTTCCCGGTCTTTAGTTGGTGTTTACTACATGGAGTGATCAAAGAACGGGGACCTTTGGAAGTTTTAGTTTTATATTTTAAGTAAGTAAGAGTTCTACACATGGCACATGCAACACAATTAGGTCTTTATAAGTGCCGTAGAATAGAGGTGTCACAAGAGAGTAACAAAAACAATAACTTATAAACTTTTGAAAACTTACAGCTTTAAGATCTGTTTCGAAGTATTTATTACTTCAAATGAATTAACTTTAAGCAGTTCCAAGGTCTCATGTGAAATATTGTGAAAAGATCATTGGCCTAAAGATTTATACTCACCGCTGTCAAGGGTAAGGCTGAATTTCTTGCAGTTGACAGAGACTTCCTGAGTACAAAATGTTGATCTGTCTTTGAGAGCTTCGATCTGCTCCAAAGACGCCCTCAGGTAATGGATGAACCACTCGGCAGAGTTGATGGTGTTCTGGAACGACCAGAAAAATAAAAGTTTACTGAAGCGATTGGAGGATATTTTTTTCTGCGATTGAAGGAATTAACATATTACACACAGGGACTGAGTAAATATAGAATAAAAGTTTTAGTTTAGTTACCGTAAGTGTTTTACGGCACTTGCAACACAATAACGTCATGTAAACGCCGAAGATTAGAGGTGCTACAAGAAAGTAACAAACACAAAAAAGAAGAAGGGGAGATAAAGACTATAGATGATTGATAGGAAAGAAGGAACAAACCACAAAAGAGCACCCGCCAACCACCCATGAATATAGGTTTGGTCTTTGTTCGGGGTTTCAATTTCACCGTGGTCTGAATTTCTCATCCTCTCCAGATATTTTTTTTTTTTTCACACAGGCTTTTTTCTGATAAGCTTGTGTCAAGAAGGGCATTAGATCTCACATGAATAACACAGTCACGATAAGTGGTAGAGAAGTACCCAACGAATGGAAAAACGTAACGGGAAATTCCAGAGCTGATAGACAAGACAAGAAGATCTTTCCTCTTTTTTCTGTTCACTTCACTTCTGACACATCTTTTGTTCTTTCTCACTATCATGGCCAGTATGTGCAGAGAAGCCCCCCCCCCCGTTTCCCCCTTTTCTCCTTTTACCCCGTTCCCCCATTCCTTTTCACTCACTATCTACTCCACCCTTTCCTTCACTATCTCCACCTTCCCCCTCGTTTATAATACATTTATTTCTCATTGTCTCTCGGTTCTCTCATCGTTCTTCCTCAGTCGCCCCCTATTTCTCATTTTCGTCCTCCATCTCTTTGCCCTCTATTTCTCTCATTTCTTTCAGTCTCACTCTTTAGTCCTTTTGCCCCCCCCCCGAAAAAATACCCACTTAACTTTGAAGTACATTTGAAAATCATCACCATAGAATATTAAACCTTAAATAGATATTGAATAACATTTTTCTCGGCACGAAAAATCTCACAACGTACCGCATCCTCATTATCATGATGAATAATAGTGGTTCCCATTGGTGGGCTGGTCTCAAACTTACACTCCACAGCGAATGGGTCGAGGTTACCTGTGAAACAGAAAACAAACCAGTTAGAAAAAAAAAGCACCGGTGACAAATTATGTCATCTGTGACAATGCTATTGAAGGTAAACGTCTCGGGGAATCAGAAAACATTTTATCTCTGCACAAAACACAGTGTCAATTTTCGTTTCTTTGAGAACAACCCCCTCCCCCCTCCTCCCTTTCGCCCCGAAAAAGCACAAAAAACAAGCACCACATAAACAACATAATATATTATTTGATTGTTATTTCATCAGTAATGGGCCTGAAACAGACAGCGGCGATCATAGTTCGCCCTGTATTTCTTAGCTCGGGTGCTTTCAAAAACTTATATTATCATCCTGGTCTTTTCACGTCGTTCATTTGTTCAGGCTTTCCAAGTAAGCGCGTGTGGGTCTACCCAGCCCCATTTGCCTTCTTTTTAACGATGCACATATTTACAGTTTAAAAAAGTACTCGACTCAATGACCGTAGTAAAGGTTCTTGGGTTAACCCCCCCCCCCTATCTCCCTTCACAGAAACCAGAAAACGTAATTTATTTGATGAACTTATAGAAACAATAAAGATTGTCAAACATTGCCACACGATCGATACATCATCACCATGGACACACCATCACCTCCGACATACTACTGACACACCATCACACTATCGACACACCGTCACCACTGACCTTCACCACTGACACATCATCACCAGAATCAATAAATCCAGTTAAAAACACATCTCTGATAATACATTGGGAGCTTTTCGGGGCTAAGTCATTCGTTAATGTTGTGATTATAGATTCTAGGTTTTCAATACAATCTTCTCATACACTGATTTGAATACTTTCCGTTATTCTTCGAGAGCTTCCATTTTATTGCTGTTTGTTTGTTTCATTCTTCTTAATAATCATAACCAATGTGCAAGTTTTCATTTTTACCTGGACCATCGGGATCGATGAAGTAGGTGTAGTCCTCGCTCACACCTGTACCACGGTACTTCTCACAATTGGGCTCAATACCTGCACAGAGATTTTTTAAAAGTCAGTGACATAATATACTCATTAAACACCAACAATCAAAATAACCACCCGTTTTCTTTCTCCTTTTTTCCCTACCTGTTCAAAAAACAATAAACAGAAAAAAAGCACACGATTCATCTGTGCTAAAATGTAGCACTTTTATGTCTTTGAAATTTTAACTATAAAACATATTTACTCATTTATTATGATTCCATCGTCATACGATGCTTCTATTATGTTACTGAGTGAAATGGTGTTACACAATTGGCATAACTGGGCCTACTCGTAACTCGTATAAAGCCAGCACATTGTGTGCAAAGTCCCGCAGAAAAATCTGAACTTACGAAAGGCTTCTTTTAGACTGTGCACCCATCTACGTGATGATAGACATTTAGATAATTTTTAAAAAGCAAACTTCTCTTTTTACATCTCGTTTTGAGCTGGAATACGGATTTTTTAGAGAAGTCAATAAATGACAAAAAAAACAACAACAACGAAAGAATGAATAAACACACAAACAAACAAACAAACAAACAAACAACAAACAAACAAACAAACAAACCGAATTGCTTCTGGCTGCACTGAAGAGCACCAAATTCGTATGTTCCGCTGCGTTGATCTCCGAGCTCAGCTGTGACTCTGATCACAGGCAAGTCAGCTTTGTTGATGATGAGTCCAAAGTCTTTTCGCACTTTGTCATCCTGGGGAAACAAAAGAGCATTTCAATACAACGGTCTCCCTCCTTTTTTTCCACACATTCGTGTTTCTGATTGGTGTATTTGTCAGATATACTGTTACCATAAGTTAAAAATTGAACTCTAAGCAGTTATGTCAATACAAAAGTCTATGATATAATATCTTCTATTGATTCGGGTGTACTTATTTGCATTGCTTTCCAATATTCGTTTCCAAAACCTGAACGGACAGAGACCTTTTATTCTATTGAGTTAATGCTGAGTGGTTATACCCTATACAGTTAACGCTGCTTCTATGCTATGCAACTTTAATCAAGGAGTTAACAAAACAAAAACCCAAAATGTTTTACGACGAGGTGGAATCAGGCACTCACTTAGGGTATATTGAGTTATTGGTACCATTGTAAGGCTTGTTCATTTGTCTTGCTTATGATAAAAAAGATAACCATCTATCTGGAATAGAAGTCGAGATATTTGCAATCGCCTGATTTCAGAGGTAAAAGTAGCGAGAAATAAAAGAATAATGATTATCAAGGAAGGGTGTGGAAAACATGCAGTTTATTAGTTCAGCCTTGATGTTTTCAGTCTGTTTTCGGCTGTCCTTTTTATTTTGTTGCTTTTTCAAGGTTTCTTTTGATTGCTGTGTGTGTGTGTGTTTTTATGTGAGGGGGGGGGGGGCTGATAATCACCTGTCTAAAAACTACAAGAGAAGCCATGTTAGATGATGAATCAAAGTATCGTTTACAAAAATTGACGCTGAAAAAAACCCCCATCTCGGACGAAAATGGTTGGTGTTAGTACTGCATTGATTTAGGTAGAGGGTAGATTCTTTTGGGCAAAGTTAACACCATGGCGTGTGCTCCCAATTTGAAGACTCTCAATTTCATTGTACATTTCGTCTCTTTGTCACTTCAGTTTCTAAGTCTCCTGAGCTTGGAGGAATCTCCATCTCTCATAACTCACGCTTCACCATTGAAACATGCCCAAGTAGGTATTCAAGAAACGATCTATCACAACTCACTCCATACCATTTAAATGGTGTTGACAAACACGGTACCTGAATGTTGCAGTTGCACTTGACCTCGTCGCTCTCACAGGACTGGGTGATGCCGCATCCGCAGGAGTCCTGCACACCATCAGCGCCAGGAAAGTAGTCCAGCTTGCGATTGGGTCCATACACGTACCCACCATCCCCGAGCAAAGCAGAGTTCTGTGGATCAAAGCATAGAGCTGGCTGTAGAGCGTGGGTATGCTCTATACAATTAATGCTATATAATATTATTATTATTATTATTATTATAATTATTATTATCATAATTATTATCATTATCATTCTATCAGATCTTCTTTAGTTTTAGCAAGCGTTTTACAGCACTTGCAACACAAAAAGGTCATATTATAAGTGTCGATGATTAGAGGTGTTACAAGAGAGTAATAAACACAAAGTAGAAGGAAGGAATATAAGGACAATAGATGTTTGGTAGTAAAGAAGGAACAAACCACACCAGAGCACCCGCCAACCACCCACATCTGATCTTCAATTAACAAAAACCCAAACATTTTATTTAAAAAATCTCATTTATTTATTTTGTAGACTTCCGGCAAGGAGACATGTTGCTTTTACCCATCGTTTCAAGGCAAACTCCTCGGGCTGTGAGTGTGAGGGATATAACGTCACAGCAGACAGACGGAGATACTCGATGAAAACCTTCCCAGTTCGAAATCAATTTCATTCCATTATGAAAGATATGGGAAATGAGAAGTCTGCAGCTTTCAACATTACCTACCAAAAATGAATTCTGATACTCGGCTAAATATGATTCAACTGTCGTGTGTTTTTCCCAGGACGTTTTTGACACTTATGTCGTCGGTTTTGGTTTAAAAGAAAAAAAGTACCCATCATTCTTCTGCCGTTCTGTCGTCGTCTAAAAACAATGCAAGGTCGCCATTATCTTGCGCGTGAGGATGGAGACCATGCCTGTTAGCAGTGAGTTGTTCTTTGTCTTTCATCTGTATAAGACAAACGCTCTATAAAAAAAGAGGCTGAAATAACTACGTTACCATACCCACCCATTGGCATAGGAAGTCAAATTACTAATCTGTAGTAAAAGAGTTATTTCCAAGAAAGCAAGAACAGAGAGATATAGAAATTAATTTGTACCTACCGTTGCGGGATTACTAAACACACAATGATGCAAATGAAACAGAGATAGCTAGAGAGGTATGTATATATCATACCTATATATAAAAAGGGAGGGAGGGAGAGAGAGAGAGAGAGAGAGAGAGAGAGAGAGAGAGAGAGAGAGAAGAGGTGGGGGAGAGAACAAAATAAATAATTTAGGGCCTGATCCTTACCTTACATGTAAACTCAACCCTCTGAGAACAAAAGACTGAGCCTTGAATAAGCCCGTTGATCTCTGGAAGGTCTGATGTGTAGGTGATAGGCTCCCCTTGCTCTACAGTTGGGGTGATCACCGGTCTGATAAAACAAACAAAATTTAGAAGCAGCGTTGTGAGATCAGGCTTTCGTCAAAATAATGAAATCAAAGAAACTGGTATTTTTCAGAACAGGTAAAAAAAATTGCATTGTCTATCGATTTATTTTTTTGGGGGCCTTGGCACATTTTCCATCTTTTTATAAGCGTATTTCTGCGTATAATTTTACTGAGAATCGTTGATTAAAGGCACACAAACTGTACATTTACAGTTTCTAAGGACTCATTATCTCACTAACTTTACTTCTGAAACCAGGCAACCCCATCTTCTTCAGTCACAAATATCTCCAAGTTCTATTTAAGATAGATGGGTATTCTTTCATCAAAATATAGACATTGACTGATTGATTGGGTAGATGTTTTACGGCACTATCGACACAATTTTGGTCATTTAAGCGCCATCAGGTTTCACCGCTACAAAATCAGACGTGTTTTTAATAAAGAGTCTTTCGGAGCTCGCAACCGCAAACGATCACATTATTTCTATTATGCTAAAAAGACGAACAAACATTTTTATAAAAAAATTGGAAAAGGCTTATTTACATTTGTATATACAATACAAATTTCAGTGTATGTATATATACACCGACAACGACAATTATATATTTTCACATTTTATTAAACAGTCCAATTTCTTTTATATAATTTAAAATTCTTCTAGGCTCTATGATGTCAAAAAGGGTCTTAACATCTTTACATTAAAAATTTTTCCCACGGACATAATTAAAGTCGACACATTCCATTAGGATGTGCCGAACTGTGAAACCTGTGTTGCACGCCACGCAGAAAGGAGCGTCCTCTCCTTCGAGAAAATGTTTGTGCGTGACGTGCGTGTGTCCTATCCTTAGTCGGGTAAAAATTACTTTTTCTCTTCGTGGTAGAGATAGTGGTTTTCTGGGAGTAAGTTTCGGTTGAATGTAATGGAGTTTGTTGTGTATTTGTTGATTCCAAATTTGGGACCAGGAGGATGTGATGTGTTCTTTTAATATAGACGAATGATTAGGCTTTACGTTGATACCAATAACACCACAGCCTCAGAAATTGACTAGCGCTTGATTCCACCGCGCCGTGACACAATTTATAAAATATAAAGCTGCAAAAAGCCCCCCCCCCAAAAAAAAAAACAACAAAAAAAAAAACAATAAAATATATAATGCTATTTAAATTCATCAATGCCATCATCA